TGCTGAATTTCACACAGCTCTCATGTACTAAAACACCATCAGTGCAGTCAAACCCAGTTTTCTTCCTTGAAAAATTGAGCAACCATAAAACATTTCTAAGTTTTTCGCACTGGGGCATAACTGTTTTTCTGTTGTTTCAATTTCAGAATGAAAATATTTGGAGGATTTCAACCAAACTATTCAGAATGAGGCAGGCAACCACCACAACATCTTGGTTCAAACCACAGTAGTCTGGGTAGTACTACACACGCTGAGAGCAGCTTTATATTTCCCTTCATAAGGAAACTTTAGAATTGAGTAATACAAGGTTATTTTAGATCTAAGAAAGGTCACACTTTTTAAAAAAAGAGATTATAATTTACAAAAAAAATTACAGAAACCAATAACCAGCAAGATATTTTACTGTTAAAAATATAAGCAACACTGATTTCAAGTACCACTTCGGTACTTGATTGTCTACATCTTGATTTTGGTACCTTCAGTACCAAAGGTGTCCATCTTGTTTAATTTAAAAAGCAAAATTTACTGTCCTCTAAATATTTTTAGATATTGCTGACTAGATATTTAGCAAATTTGTATGTGTTTTAAGACTGACTAACAGATATCCAACCTGTTAGCCAAAAGCTGGTATCCAAAAATCCCAACAAATGCCCACCAAGATACACTGAGAAAGTATTTTTTTCTCTAGTTTTATTAGTGGTGTATTTCTACAAGTATATCCCATAACACAAGTCTGGGTCAAAATAACTCCAAAACAGTCCAACAAAATCAGAGTAAGAAGGAACTATTTGAAGTTTGGAGCTCCTCCTATTGGCCTCTCTCTTCTTCTATCCTTTACAGTTAAGAATTCTGTTTTTTTCCACTTACTTTTTAAGTAAGATTCCAGTTAAACTTTGAGGCTGGGAAGTTTTTAAAGATAAAAAATACTTTCATATCTTCAAGCCAATTCTCCTTCATTCTGTGTTTAAAATAACATGCAGATCCTTTTTATGTCATGCAACGACCATAAGTTGTCATCCCTCAATGTTGGGATTCAATAGTGCTGAAACAATGACCCTGCCCTCCCAGAGCACTTACTCCATGCACAACGGAACAGAGGGGTGAGCTTTTTGAAATGTACAAGTTTCAAAAATGGCGAAACTATAGAAGTGTGGTAACATAAATCACACCATGGTAAAGCTGCATGCTATACAGATAATTGAGTATGGCTAAGAAATAGCTACTTATTTGGTCAATGAACAGATTTTAACTTTATGTATGTATGACATTTTGAAGAACTACTAAAATATGACTGATCACATTTCTTGGCTGATAACCAAAGGCCAATCATGCAAAATTAATTGCAAAGACATTTGTTATTTGCCAAAAACCGAATTACCAATATTTGCTTCTAAAAAAATGAAATTACTTTGACTCCCTCCCTTCTAACATCCGTGAAAGACTGACCTTCACTTTTTCCCTAAACTAGCTCTGCTTCTACTATCCCTAAAGAGTGAAATAAAATTCTGCCCCAAAATTACAGTAACACAAGTAGGGGGAAGCTTGCATTTTCAGATTTTACAGCGGTGAGATTTTTCTTCTGAAAAAGCTTTCAGGACAATTCCAACAGGGATCTGATTTTGGGATGGATTAATTTCATACACTACATGCGGAACTAAAACTGAAGTTCAGCCAGAGCTACTACTTCTAGACACAAATGAACTTTAATGAGAAAATATGCAAAGTATGATGGATATTTTTCTAAGTTATGAGGTACTTGTCTATTATTCTGAAATACTATTTTTTTTAATTTAATAGGAATACACTAATACTACAACTTCAACTTTTATTTATGCCAAATTCTAGTTGGCTAAAAATAGTACAAATTAATATAGCAGTTTTCCATTACTTAAAAAGTTTTGAGGGTGTT